TCTGGGATATAAGCATCACAAGTTCAAGAAAAATGATTTAATGGTGAAATCTAAGATTGCAGCAAAGCCAGCTCACCTTACATATATCAACACAGTTATTATGTTGCAGAAATGAATTCATTGGACTTGTTAAAAATGTGAACGGCTCCTTTCTGCCAAAGGAGGGAAAAGGGAAAAAGGAAAAGAAAACCTTCAAAAGAAAAACATAAAGACTTTACTGACTGATCTTTGTTGCCATTCACATTTGTTATAAAGACTCAGGGTGTGGGAGTTAATTATATTAGGTATCTTGGGTAAAAAGCTATTAATTTTGTGCTTCAAAGTTATTAACCACCTTTCTATACACAGTTCACAGGCAAATGAATGGACTTAATCCCTGTGTTAAAACACAAAACAAACCAAATAATCCCATGTTTTATGACTTTTCAAAGTTGATTATCTCCTTGGCAATGCTTTACCAGAGGCTAGATACACAACTGCTCCTTTAGCAAAGAGACCCTGGCAGTTGATATGAGAAGCCTGTGAAGTGCACTTAATCACACTTGTGTAGTCATTCCTCTTCAGACCAGACATAAAAGGTCACCAAGGAAAAACATTTTTTTCCAAAATGAGTCAACCATATTGGGTTAGTAAAATCTCTTCTTCCAATGACTGCACAATTCCTGAGAGAATCTGCTTGTTTAATGTGACATATAGCTAGCATTTGCAAATTTAAACAATTCAGTGGAGGAAATAAAATATTTAAGATGGTAACATTTACTGTCAAGAGAAGTTTGTAGATTTCTCTTTTTTTGGTACGTCTAATTCTTCAAGACAAAATATAACATTATTTAATTCTAAAGTTGCAATTTTATACAGATGATGACCTTTATTTCCTAATTACCAAAGGACATTTTATTTGTAAAAAGCATTACACATGTAAAATAACTACAGTAAGTGAAAGAGTTACTACCATCAATTACGATGCTTATCTGCATTTAAGGGTCTCTGTGCTCTAACACAAGAGCAAACTGTAGTTTAGTGTACCAATATTCCCATGGGGAATTTACAATGATTTATTTCTTTGATTTACTAAAAGCCTAGTCATAGCTCAAAGGTCTCTGAATACCCATAAAATTAGGAAACTATTGTCATAAAATTAAGAAATAATAGCAAAATCTCCATACAGGAAGCAATCCCAAAAGATAGTACCTATTGGAAATTACTTATAGTATACAAATAATATTTCAAATGAAACTTCGACTAAGGTATATTAATAAACTATGCATTCATGAAACATTTTTTGGTTCTATTGCTATAGAATACACCTCATTTATATAATCATTTTCTTTTCTTTTAAATTCATCCTGAAATAATGTATAAGTGAAGATATTTCTTTCTACATGATTCTCTTTTGAAGTTTTCTGATTTCAAATATAGTAAATTAATGAGCTTAGCGTATAAAAATCAGTAATTTGACAAGACTATATAATTATTGTTCAATAGCTATCAGAGAGTGAACGACTAAGTGGAATCTAAAGTTTAGGAAGTTATTCTCAGTGGTATTATTATTATTATTCTTGAGCTTTAAATAAATTAAAAGGCTAAATATTTGAAGATACGTTTTGGCATAAAATATAGATAATGCAAATTACAACCCATTAAAATTCCCTCTCCTGCCATTTTTTTCAGTGATACAATATATGAAAAAGTTTATTATATTCTTAAGAAAATAGTTGTGGAAAAGTTATTTAAAATAATTGAATGAAAATAAAAGCTTGAATAGAAAAAAGGAAAAGGAAATATGTCTATAAAAACTATACTTTTATGCAAGGGCTGTAAAATATGAACAAAGATAGATAATTTATTCTTGGATGGGAAAGCTCAATTTTATATATTTTCTTCCCAATATAATCTATAGGCTCAATAGAATCTCAATGAAATCAGTAAGAGATTTTCTCATGAATAGGGAGAAGGAAGTGTTTCATGACTTTAGATGAAGGGACCGATGTGTAAGAATAGTCAATAAATTTACAAAAATAAAATGTTATTGAATTAAGGATTTTCAATTCTAATAATTATTCTTTTATTCATTTGCTTAATTTTTTTTCTTTCTTTTCTTTCTTTTTTTTTTTTTTGGTAAGGAAGATTGGCCATGAGCTAACATCTGTTGCCAATCTTCCTCCTTTTTTTGCTTGAGGAACATTGTTCCTGAGCTAACACCCATGCCAATCTTCCACTACTTTGTATGTGGGATGCTGCCACAGCATAGCTTGATGAACACACTGGTGTGTAGGTCCGCGCCCAGCATTTGAACTCACAAACCCCAGGCCATTGAAGCAGAGTGTGCAAACTTAACCACTATGCCACCAGGCTGGCCCCAAATTCTAATAATTATTCTTAACTAATAAGATAACTGTGCAAAGGATGTTTCCAGTAGCACTTTATAACAGTTAAAAACTGTGAACAAGCTATTAATATGTGGCTGATCAAGCAAATGATGTCTCGTCCATACAATGAAACACTCTCCTATCATTAAGAATGATAATAAGTTTCTGGATTTATTGTTCAATGAAAGGTGTTAATTCCATATTGTTAAGTGATAAAAGCGAGTTACAAAACAGTATATAAGATATGATTCAATTTTTCTAACGTGCGTAGAAATGGAGGATATATATCAAAATACTACATGTGGACAAAGGGTGATTTTTCAGCTGTTTTATACTTTTCGACATTGTAGGAATTTTCCCTTATAAAGATGTATTATTTTTATAATCATAAGACATTATTTAACATCGTGTGGGAATTTATGGATAACAAATAATAATTAAGTAAAATTGAAAGGAAGTGGATACAGACAGCTTCTGGGAAAAGAAACTAACAGGACAACACTTTGAAGAAGGCTTTTATAATGTTAGGGACTCTGCTGTCTGTCCATCTGCTGTGAGTGTGCAGGGACGCCTGGGATATAGGGCACTGCACGGAGGAATCACGTGGGCTTTGATTCCTAGTTTCCACTCTCTTCTTCTTATCATTTTACTGATGATGGAGTCTCAATTCATATCTCTACACTCTACTGCAGTCCTTATACTTAATACGAAAGCTATACTTCAATGCTGCACTTAGATATCTAAAATGAATGATAATCCAAAAAGTACATCTCTTGACATGATCCGTACTAAAATCTGCCTCAGTGATTTCATATGGTAGTTTTACTAAAGAAGGGAAAAGTATGATAAGGTAGTTAACTGCTACAATGTACATTGTTTGAATCTTTTTAACGCAAACCTTAATTTGCCTTGCTTTGAATCCATGTTTTAAATAACAGCTTTATATGAATATTAGCTAACGTGGAAGTTCTGTTGAAAAAAATATTTGGTATAAACATGATGTGACAGGGCCAGCCCCGGTGGCCTAATGGTTAATTTCAGTGTGCTGTGCTTCAGCGGCCTGGGTTCAGTTCCTGGGCATAGACCTACATCTCTCTGTTAGCAGCCATACTGTGCTGGCAGCCCACATACACAGCTCAGGGCTAATCTTCCTCAGGAAAAAAAAAAAATGATTTGATAAAAACAATAACATCTTGGGGCCGGCCTCATGGCATAGTGGTTAAGTTCACACGCTCTGCTTTGGCGGCCCAGGGTTCGCAGGTTCGTATCCTGGGCACAGACATAGACATCCCTCATTCAGCCATGCTATGGCAGCGTCCCACATACAAAATAGAGGAAGACTGACACAGATGTTAGCTCAGGGCCAGTCTTCCTCACCAAAAATAATAATAATAACATCTTGTATTTATGGGGTATTAACTATGTGTCAGGCATAGTCCTAAAAACACTTTATAAAGTATAGAAATGTGTATATATGTGTAGAAAGTCAATTATTCCTGAAAACACCCTATGAGGCAGGTGCTGCTACTATCCCTCATTTCCCCCATAGGAAAACCAAGGCTCACAGACCTAAGTCCCTGCCCCAGGAGAAACCCAGATTGCCAGCTCCAGAACACATTTTATTATTTTTGCTGATTTTTAAAAATTTACACGTTTTAAATTTTAGAATAGTTTTAGATTTATAGAAAAGTTGTAAAAAATAGTACAGAGAGTTCCTGTATACTCCTCACCAGCCTCCCCTATTGTTAAAAATCTTACATTATATGGTACATTTGTCACAACAAAGGAACACATATTGGTATGCTGATATTAACTAAACTGTACATTCTATTTGGATTTCACTAGTTTTTCCCTAATGTTCTTTTTCTCTTCCAGGATTCCATCCAGGATAGCACATTACACTGAGCGGTCAGGTCTCCCTAGCCTCCTCTGGGCTGTGACAGTTTCTCAGACTTCCCTTGTTTTCGATGACCTTGACAGTTTTGAGGAGTAGCAGTCAGGTATTGTGTAGAAAGTCCATCAGTTTGGGTTTGTGTGATGTGTTTTTCATGATTAGACTGGGATTATGGTTTTGGGAGGAAGACCACAGAGGTGAAGTGCCATTCTCAATACATTATATCAAAGGTACATGCTACCAACGTGACTTCTCTTTGATGATGCTGGTCTTGAAGACCTGGCTGAGGTACTGTTTGCCTGATTTCCCCATTTTAAAGTTATTATCTTCCCCTCCCTCCCCTCTTTCTATGCTCTACTTTATGGAAAAAAGTTACCAAAGCCCACGTTTAAGGTGAGTGGGGATGGGAGGGAGTTAAGCTCCACCTACTTGTAGAGGGAATATCTACATAAATTGCTTGGAATTCTGTCAGATCCCTCATTTTTAACCCACTGTTCTATATTGCCACTGACATCCTATCCTTTCTTACCATTTAGGCATATTATACATGTGCAGTAATTTAAAAACACAATCCTTAACTAATTTCCTGCTTTATCAAAGATCCAAATACATGTCAGAATTAAACATGACAACCAATAAATTTGTTTAAAATTATTTTCCACGACCACTGTAGAATTTTTCACTAAAGGATGAATTATAAACCAATTTTTCTCAGAGACATTCTGTAAAGAACTTACCAGAAATATTCGTTCAAGTTGATCCTGAATGTCTTTCATTCCTGGAAAAGCAGCAACTCCCTGGATCATTTCAACAAAGATGCAGCCGACTCCCCTAAAGAGAGAAGAAAGAATTGTACAAAAACTTCAATATAGTCTGCTTAGAAAAGTAAATCTGGAATTAGAACATCTACTCCTACAGAGGAGAAACAATGAATAAATTACTTTCCTAATGAGTACCAAGGGCTGTGTCACATATACCTCGATCCCGTAACTTTCCTTTCCCCTCTCTGCCTACTGCCCTGAAAGGACTCTAAATAGATGCAACTATACTGGGCTCAGAAAATAGTGGAAACCAATAAAATATAAACCTCAGAGGCTCCACTTTGTATACAGGATACAGTCACGAAACTCCTTAGCCTGATATAGAAAGCCTCCACAGTCTCGTTCTAACATCCTTTTCCAATCCTATTTCACAAATTCATAATATATTGTCCTCTCTAGCTGTCCACAGGATCTCAAACCTCTCTTTGCATCAAAATCATCTGGGGAACTTTTAAAAACTGCAAATGATCTGAACACAAACCTCAGAGACTCTGTTTCAATCAGTCTAGGTTGGAGCCCAGGCATTGACTTGGGCTGCTAAGGTGATTCAGGGCAGCTACACTGAGGATCACTCAGCCAGAGTGATCTGCGCAAGGGCCAAGCATAAATCTATAGAACTTGGCTCAAATTGCTCCGCTATCTGGAACTCCCTCCTTCTTCACCCATTTGCTCTTGATACGCAAATCCAACCCAAACTCTCTAATCTAATTTAAATTCCATTAAGCCTTCCATGAACATTCCAGCAGACAGGATAGCACCTTTATGAGTTTATTTGGTAGGTTCTTATTCAATATACCAGCCTTCTACTATGGTCAACTTCCTCTCCTAGCTTAGCCTGCCATGCTCACAGTTCCTATCTAGCAAGGCCTTCCAGCATATCAGGTGCCCTTGCCTCCCACACCACAGCAGCCTGCATCTAACTCAAGAGGAACAACCAATCCATAGTATAGGCAGAGAGCCAATCAGATACTTCTGTTGGGACTTTGGAGAACAAGTCACTTGGGAGCAGGATGGAAAGAAACTAGCATATATAGATGGGATAAGTCACATTAATGGCAGAGAATTAGCAAGAATGGCTGTCTTCCTGTAGGTGAAGTCCCCTGAATTGACTTGGTTCCTGCCTTCCTAAGGCCTGGATGCTCAGATAATACAGTGTTTTTGCTAGATCTCGCTACCTTCTAGCAACTCTCTAGGAATTTTTTTTTTAAATGGCCTTACCTTGAATGGGTTTATGTTTCCTGAAAGTATTCTAATAAAATCATGAACACACTGGGACACTTCTTCAATTGCTGCACTCGTATTCAATTTAGGGTGAGCAAATCCTAAAAGCAAACCCTTTAACTTACTTCAGATCCTCTAGAGGTTAAGGACAGGGACCTATGTCTCTATAGCTGCCCTGGTGTTATCATGGTTGTATATAAAACAATATGTTGAATTAAAAAAGTAAAACATTGAGCCGGCCCCGTGGCTTAGCGGTTAAGTGTGCGCGCTCCGCTGCTGGCGGCCCGGGTTCGGATCCCGGGTACACACTGACGCACCGCTTCCTCAGCCACACTGAGGCCGCATCCCACATACAGCAACTAGAAGGATGTGCAGCTATGACATACAACTATCTACTGGGGCTCTGGGGGAAAAAAATAAATAAAAATTTAAAAAAGTAAAACATTTGCAGAAATCTCTTCTCTATTATACCACACAATTTCTATCCAAATTAAACACCAATACTATATAGAGTCAAAATGACTAAAAACAAACAAATGCTACTTTACATCATAAAAAATAATTCCAGGGGCTAGCCTGGTGGCATAGTGGTTAAGTTTGTGCACTCCGCTTCGGAGCAGAGTGGGCACGAACCCCAGCAGCCTGGGGTTTGCGGGTTCAGATCCTGGGCGCAGAGCTATGCACCACTCATCAAGCCATGCTGTGGCGGCAGCCTACGTACAAAATGGAGGAAGACGGGCACGGACATTAGCTCAGGGCCGGTCTTCCTCAGCAAAAAGAGGAGGATTGGCAATAGATGTTAGCTCAGGGCTGATCTTCCTCACCAAAAAATAATAATAATAATAATAATTCAATTAAGTAGTAAAGAATTAATTTCAAAATCAGACGGGTTTTAATACAAGTTATTGTTTAAGATTTGAGAGACAACATAGGTATCAAGAATTATTTTATTAGCATATTAAAACACAATGATATTCTTATAAATACGGAGCTTCAGATGTCTGATGAGGTCTGGAACTTCAATTTGGTGGTTTTCCAAATTTTTATGCCAATAATTCTTTTCTAAGACTACTGACCTACATTTCTATTGTCTTCTATTTGTTTACATAAAATATCCTGAATCTTAAATAGCTTCCTGCACCTTCCTTTTTTTTACATTCAAAATATACTCTCTAGTCACCACCTTTTGGCCTTAGTCTTTTTCCCATCAGAAGCCACAACTCTGAGTGTGAAGACCCTCAACAGAAGCCACAGCCACCCCCACTGTGCACCCAACTAAGGCGGCTGGTGAGGTACCAACTACACTGTCAGAACTACTTACAGAAATTCTTTTACCACTGATGTGGTTGGTCTATATCATCTCTATAATATGATACTTAGAACAATTAAAAGATAGATCTACGATGCAATTCTACTCAGTTGGAATGTGACGATACAGCATTTCTCCAGGCTCTTATCTGCTTAGCTGGCTACAGGACTCGGACTCTCATTTCTTTTTTTTTTTTTTTTAAAGATTTTATTTATTTATTTTTTCCCCCCAAAGCCCCAGTAGATAGTTGTATGTCATAGCTGCACATTCTTCCAGTTGCTGTATGTGGGACGCGGCCTCAGCGTGGCCGGAGAAGCGGTGCGTTGGTGTGCGCCCGGGATCCGAACCCGGGCCGCCAGCAGCAGAGCGCACGCACTTAACCACCAAGCCACGGGGCCGGCCCTGGACTCTCATTTCTAATGGATGTTACCTATGACATCATTTTTCAAAGATGCTTGAGAGTATACTAATGAAGCTAAGAGAATTCTACTTAAAGGGTTTATAAAAAGAGATAGAAAGCACAATAAAATAAAATCATAAAAGTATAAAACCTATCAACATATTAACATAGCAGAATACTTTCTTTACTGGAGCTGCCTTATTGCCAAACAGCAATAAAAGCCCTTCAATTTAATATGAAAAACTGTTGCTTGTTTTCTTTTTTTTTTTCCCTTGCTATCCTCCATTAGCTCTGTGCTCCCTCTCTCGATAAAGTTGACTGCTCTGAACGGTTTACTGAGAAAATATTCATCCACTTAAGTTCTCTACTTATGATATATAATCTTATTTCAGGAAATATCTCCTTTAATTTGTTGCTTCTTTTGACAACTTGAATAATTATGTAATTATCACCCACTTATTCTAAATTTTTCAAGAATAAGAACTGGTCACAAAAGCTTACAATTAAAGTTGTCATAGGGTGCAGTGTGTTCAAACTGTTATTGTACGATTAGTTACCTGGTGAGGTAATATATAAAACACCCACCCGTGCTCACACTTCTTTCAATTCTTTTGAACTCAAAATTTCAAAATTTAATTTATGCCACAGATTTGTAAATGGTTTTTTTTAATCACAACTCAAAACAAGATTTTAAGCAGAATTGACAATTCTTGGTAATTATGAGCAGAGATGGACAATTTCTTAGACCTGAAGGTCATACAATTTGGAAGTTCTTATTTCAAAAAATAATACAAAATTATGAATAAAAAATTGGGTAGAAAAGTAAATTTAAAATGAGAAAATAAGTCAAAACAAATCATAAATTTTAAAAAGCTAACAAATATGACAAATAATATAAAATTCAGAAAAAACAAGGTAACATATTTATTAACTGTCTGACACACCTCTCTAATACTTTTATTTCTACAATTTTGGCTGCATAATCTTCAATTACCTCTTCCATGACAATTCTATAATATCATTCTCTATAAAGAGAATACAGGGATAACAATCTTTCCTCTAGCATAGACTTTCTTTTCTGATAGTATAGAAAAGTTTTTTTTTTCTTTCAGCTTTCTAATTATTGGTATAGTCATGTAAACTTTTAGGACTGTTATCAATTTTAGGAAAACTTCTATCAAGTTTCTTTCAAGTATGTCCGTATATTATAAACACAGCAATTCTAAAACATTCTACACAATTCCCATGATAAGATACCAAAGGAGCATGAGAGGACAACTCAGCTCAATGTGGAGAGTGAGGAGGGACTTAACTCCTGAAGTCTTAAAGGACTAGAAAAGTGGAACCTGGTGGATTATGGGGTGATGGCACTAGAGTGGGAATGGCACACTCCAGGTAGGAAAAACAGGATCCACCAGTGAGGAATCTTGAGAGAGCCAAATGTTGTTGTTATGGCTCAGTGTGGAAAATGGAAGGAAAAGTTAACAAGAGAGCAGAAGTCCATATTCTATGCTAAGAATTTTGTGTTTTATTCCTAGGCTAGAAGGTCTTGATTTTTTTCTGCATCCCAGTACTCATGGTGGATGAAGCTAACTAGTTGGACATACAGGTGGAGAACCTAGATCACAGGCAGATTAGGAGATAAAACAGCCTTAAGGACAGAAGCAACTACAAGCACTAGTTGTAAAAGCCACCTCATTCTTTCCCACCCGTGGCAGCAAATGAATAAGACTAACAATAGTATAAGCTCTGTCTCTAATGGGGGGCAGGGACACAGCACACAATAATGCATAGGGGTCTACAAACTACAGACCACGGGCAAAATCCCGCCCAGTGCCCGTTTTTGTAAGGGCCTATGAGCTAAGAATGGTTTCTACATTTTTATACAGTTGAACAAAATCAAAAAAAGAAATTTGGTGATATATGAACATAATGTGAAATTCCAATTTCAGTGTTCATAAATAAGGTTTTATTGGAACATAGTCCCATTCATTCATTTATGTGTTGTCTATGCTGTTTTCTCATCATCACGGCAGAGTTGAATACTTGCTACAGAGATCATATGCTCTGAAAAGACTAA